TTTTTCCTACCCAATATCCAAAGTAGATATCAAATTCCCCTGTAGCAGGTAGGCAGGAATGTCTCCGCCCCACTTCCTAGAGGGGCAGCCCTTGTGGACTTCCAGCTTCACCCAGGTAGCTCTTTCCTAGTCTAATCCTAGGGAAGCCTGGATTTCCCTAACATTAGGATTACCAACTTTAGCCCCCAGCTAGGTGTGCACACCACAGTGACCTCTTTGGACTTCACCTGACTCACCATTTGGTTCTGGATATCCTCTCTTTTTCTAGTATCTAAGTATTTTGCTCACTTTGTTTTAAGCTCAGCTATATACTGCACAATTCGTTTGTGATATTTTATCTAGTTTCCACTCCATGTGTTTGGGGTAAAAAGGGGAGTCCTTCCACATGAGCAAAATTTTGATACCAAGAAAATGACAAGGACAGTATGACAGAGATAAATTACAAAACAATCATGATTAAGAACATCGATTTTAAAGTCGTAAGTGAAAAATTAACAAACTGCAGAAATGTATTTTTAAAAATCATCACAACTATACGGGGTTGATTTCAGGTATGCAAGGCTGGCTTAACATTAGAATACTGAATAATATAATGTGGGGGCCAGCAACTTTAGATACGAAATAGTTTAGGCTTTCTGTGTCACGTGAAGTTCCTGTCTCATGTTCTTCTTTGGGCTGTTTCTTTGCTTGTTTTTTATGATCCTTTTAAACATTAAAAAACATTTTTCGTTCACAGGCCATACAAACCCAGTCTGTGGGCCATAGTTTGCCAATCCCTGATACAATGCAACATGCCAACAGAATAAGAGAGAAGAATCATATAATTATCTCCATAGATACATAAAAATGTATCTGATCATATCCAACATTCATTCATTTTTTATTTATGCATAATCTAGGAAGAAAACTCCTTTAACCCAGTGAGGATTTACCAACTAAAAACTTGTAGCAAACTTCCTTCTTAATGGAGAAATGTGAAAAAGATTCTCTTCAAGGTTAGGAGAAAGTGAAGGATGCTTGCTACCTCTACTTCTACTCAGCATTGAATCCCAGACAGTGCAGCAAGGAAGGGGAAAAAAAAAAAAAAAAAGATTAAGGTTTGGAAAGGAAAAATAAACTGTCACTATAGAACAAATAAAGTAATGTTCTGTGCAGAAAACCCTAGAAAGTACAGATCAAGTATCACTCAAACTGACAAGAGAGTTTAGCAATGTGGCTGAATATAAGATTAACATACCTGTCCATGTGCCAGTTTCTTTGCTGAATTTTGTCTGGTGGGGGGCTCCTGAAAGAACTAAATTAGGCAGGCTTTCTTTTAGAGAAAATTTTACATTAGCTTCTGCCCAGACACTACTGACCTGAGATTATCACATTCAGGTTATTAGGCAGTTCCTTAGTGCGGGAGACTCAGGCTCAAGGCCTGATCTACTGGTGGAGCCCAAAGCTTTGTCTCCTACTTCCAACATTGGCTTTGATACTTGCCTGCAGGGTAAGCCCCACATCTTTTCACAGTGCTAACTCTGATTCCACTTATTGGGGTTTGTTGGTGTTTGAATACTTTTGTCCTTGGAGATCCCTTTACTCTTTGATGCTCTACTGTAATACAGGAGTATCTTAGTCAAAATCTAACTGTAACATAAAGGAAGGCCTTTCTGAACATCACATCCAAAGTATGATTTATAAAAAACTATTACATATAGAAATATGACTAAAAACAAAACCCCAAAATGTTAATTGGTTGTTTTCAGATGATAAGTTATAAGTAACTTGTTTTCTCTTCTGTATTTCCCATATCTTGTACCCATGATCTTATTTTGTTTTTAAAAAGAAGAAGACCCTTTATTTTTTTTAAAGATTTTATTTATTTATTAAAAAGAAGACAAGCAGGGGGAACGGCAGGCAGAGGGAGAAGTAGACTCTCCACTGAGCAAGGAGCCCGATGCAGAACTCGATCCCAGGACCCTGGGATCAGGACCTGAGCCAAAGGCAGAGGCTTAACTGACTGAGCCACCCAGGCGTCCCAAGACACTTTATTTTTTAAAAGAAGTTATGCACAGGACAAATAAAAAACTATTTATTTAAGTATCACTGAAAAACACAAAAGAATATTTATCAAGTATATACTTGTTTTTCAACCAGTATCTTAATTAATTCTCATAAAAACTCTGTAACGTAAGTATCATTATCCCTAATTTTGCAGAAGATGAAACTGAGGCTGAGAAAGGTTAAGTTATTTGCCCAGGTGACAGAATGGGGATTTGAATTTGGAAATACTTGTTCCAAGGCCAGTGTTCTTTCTGCTGAACCGTGCTGCCTCCCACAAGAGAGCATTTTCACGTCACCACCTGCTAGTTCTAATTAAGAGATAGTAATTAAACAATCCTCTACTCCTGACAACAATATTTAAGCTACTGGCATTTTCAAGAAATTAATATGAACAGCTTTTCATCTGCCGGAAGGTACTACACCTAAACACAAACGCCAAGCTATTACAGAAAGAAAAGACTCCAAGAGGACACAGTTATATGCTTTGTCAAAGCCTAGTTAATTGCATTATCTATTAATGGGACATGAAGCATAAAAATGTTGAGCAATATATTTCTAAAAATGTTCGACTTGTCTAGTAATCCAAGAAATACAAATCAGAGAGACAAGGCCACATTGATCAAATTGGCAAAATTTTTTAAGTAGTAACAGCCAGGTTAGGTAAAAAGTGAAACTGCCATACATTTTAGGAGAGACGTTAACTGATAAAAATTTGCTGTAGGCCAATTTATAATATTTACACTTTTCTCATGTGGCCTTTCAGCTAGTAATTCCTCATCTAGGAAGTTATGCTAAGAAAATAATCACAGATATGTATATAAAGATTTAGCCACAGGGTTGCGCATCTTAGAATTACATGGAAGGAAGGAAGGAAGGAAGGAAGGAAGGAAGGAAGGAAGGAAGGAAGGAAGGAAGGAAGGAAGGAAGGAAGGAAGGAAGGAAGGAAACAAGCTGAAATGAAACTAAACCTACAATAAGAAACTAGGTTAATAAACTATGCATATTCAAAATAATTCCATCAGCCATTAAAAATGATGACACTGCTCTCTTTATTAGCATGGAAAGAAATTGTTGACATGATGTTTTTAAAAAGTAAATAAAAAATTATATATAACAGTATGATTGTATTTTTATTAACTTATATTTGGTTATATTTCTATTATTTACAAAATGTAAGGTCTGAAATAATATACCACAAAATTTTGACTGTGGATATATCTGATGATATGATTTGGGATTCTTTTGATTTTTCTTTTTCTTCATCTATATTTTCTTATTTTTACATAATGAATATTTATTACTTGTGTTAAAAAAGGAGAAAAAACATTGATATCACAGAATCGTATCAGTTAGTAAGAATGTCTACAACTATTATTAATATATATTAAGTAATATGTTATAAAATAGTTTGTATGTTCTCATTTATGTAAGAAAACCTATATATATTAAGTTGAACCATATAAAATTGCTGGCATTTGTCTGATTTTGACTTTTAAAAACAGCAATTTCAAATGGCTCGACTTAACACACATAATAGGAAAAATATACCCCAAAATATTAATAGTATCCTAGGAGTCCTAGGAGGTTTTTTTTTCTTTAAGGTCATCTGTATTTCCTTCTTTAAATTCATCTGTATTTTCTTCTTTTAAATTTCACTAGTTTCTAATTTTTTCTACAATACTAAATCCCAGTTTCTATATTTATAGGCCAAAGACCCCAAGCAAGTCAACTGAACTCTCTCAGTTTCATCAAAAAACAATGGGGGGAGGGGAGGGCACCTGGGTGGCTCAGTCAGTTAAGCATCTGCCTTTGGCTCAGGTCATGATCCCAGGGTCCTGGGATCGAGCCCCACATCGAGCTCCCTGCTCAGTGGGGAGCCTGCTTCTCCCTCTCCCTCTGCCACTCCCCCTGCTTGTGTTTTCTCTCTGTGTCAAATAAATAAATAAAATCTTTTTTAAAAAAAATCAGAATACACCAAAAACAAAAATGAATTCAAAATGGATTCAAGACCTAAAAGTGACACTTGAAACCATACAAATCCTGGAGGAGAACACAGGCAGTAACCTCTTTAATGTTAGCCATCACAACTTCTTTCTAGATACGTCTCCTGAGGCAAGGGAAACAAAAGCAAAAATAAACTATCTGGACTTCAGGATAAAATGCTTCTGCACAGCGAAGGAAACAATCAACAAAACTACAAGGCAACCTACAGAAGAAGGTATTTGCAAATGACATATCCAATAGAGGGTTAATATCCAAAATAGATAAAGAATTTATAAAGCTCAACACCCAAAAAATGAATGATCCAATTAAAAAGTGGACAGAAGACATGAATACACATTTTTCCAAAGAAGACATACAGTATAATTCTATTAAACTTTATAGTCAACATTTTCCAAATATACCATAGTCCTAAATCCATTAATGAAATTTTCTAAATGGCAACTATTTTATTGTAACTTCTCTTTTCCCTTCTAAGTAGCTTTGCCACAAATATATGACAGGGAGAACAACTCTTTCTAACCAAACCTTCCTCCTCCCCAGGCACACACTTATATAAGAATCAGACAGACCCAGACCCAGAACTTTACACAATCCAGAAGATACGTAGAGTTTCAATGTCCAGAGGGCATAAAACAAGTAAAAGAAAACAACTAAAGAGAAGAAGAAACAAGGAAGGTAAATGAAAAAAAAAACTTGAAATAATAGTAATTACTGGAAATACCCCTACTTTGTTTTCAACTATCCAAGTAAAACCTACTTGACATTTTTGATACATGTGAATGCACGCTTGGAATTGAGGTCCCAGAACCAAGTTCATTCCATCCTTATACACTTTTACAGGATAAAATTTCAGATCTTGGGGTCTATTCCCTAGCAGGAGCTATAAATGATTCCCTCGAAGATCCACACCTACAGGAAATAAACCACTACTGCAAGAGACACTTTCCTACCTTAACAGCTTCTCCTAGAGTTTGGTTTTTGTCAGCTTCCTCACTGGAATGCAGTTCAAGTCTATAATTCAACTCCTGCAATTGCTGTGCCTGCTCGTTCAGCAGCATCTGAGCCTGTTGTTCCCGAAGTAATGCATTATTCAGTTCTTCACATGCACTTTCAAACTTCTCGTGGGTGATCAGTTTCTGAAAAAAGGATTAAAAAATTCAGTTATAAGCTAGCTGCGTCGTTTTATCACTTAATCTTCAGAACTAGATTTGCTATCATAGAGTGTAACAGACACATTTCTAAGTGTCTGATACATGACAAAGTACAACTTGCTTTTCTTAATCTCATAAATCAAGACCAAAAAACATCATTCTGGTTTTTAAAGTAGAACAGCTATATTCCCGAAGTGATCATTTTTAGTCAAATAAAATCTTAGGAAACTTATTTCAAGTTCAAATAAATCCATATTGCTCAGATTACATTTTCATACATGAGCACTTTTTATAAAGAATAGGATTGCAGGAACTAAAGCCTTTAACGAGTTTCGATGCTTTTAAACACAGACCCGAAAGTCTGTGTTTGGCATGCGTTACTATTCACGTCTCCCTGGTCAAACATCCCCTCCTTCAAGAATCCTTACCAGACCATCCCTTCCCAACTCCTTCGACTACTCACACTACCATACCATATTCCTTTGTTTTCTTTATAGTCATTATCATTATCTAAATTCACTTCGTGTAATTATTCACTTTTTTACTGCCTGTCTGCACCCTGCCACCAACCATAGATCTAAGGATGGGAGCTCCACTGGGCAGATCTCATTCCACTTGCCCACTCAACACACAGAAGAGTACCTGGTACTCAGTAGCGCTCAGCAGGTATTTGTTGAATGAAAGAATATTCCTATATAAACATCTACAAATAAAAGTGTGCACCAGGGTATACAGCAGAGTTTTTACGATATCATGACTGCTTTAGAGAATGGAGCACTACATCTGTCTAGACAGTTCTAGCCAGGGGCCATCCCTTAAAAGGTGGGGAATCCAGGGCAGGACACACATGTATTATCTCCTTTTCAAAACAATTAAGCAAATGAAAATAAATTAGCAAACAACAAGAGACATCCTGATCTTGAAGTACAAAGAATGGGAACGGTTCACAAAAGGGAAGTAACTTGAGAAATATATATGGAAAACTAAAAAGCACTGTACAAGTCACTTAACCATGCTGTATATATTAAATACATATGTCTATTTAAGACTGATAACTTTCCCATTGTTGAAAAGATTTTGAGGTGAATATAATTAACCACAAATATAAAGCAAATTGATTTAAAATTTTTTTTAATTTAGGGTGGGGGGAGGGGAAGAGTAGACTAAAAAGCCTATTGATTCGAGGCATCTGGAATACATAAACTAGTGCAGTTGAATGTGGACTTTATCTCTGAGTTTTCTGCCACATGAGACAAATGTGCTTAGTTGTAGTTTCCTCGTGGGCCAACAACAGCAAACACACATCTCATGCAGAGAAAAATTTTTTTACTAGAACTAAGTTTGAGGATAAGTTTATTACATGGGTCTTTCTGTATCATAATATAGTTTTAACTCAGTTTTACTTTGGCGCCAGGTACCTTGCCTGTTGCCTCCCAGAAGCAACTGTCTTGTACTATTATTTTACTTTTCGAAGGTGTAATATAATGCATTCCTCAACACTGATTAAATTTTAAAGTATGGCATAAACAACAGCAACACTCCAGCATAAAAATAGATGGGGAAGGATTTACCCAAGTTGACACAAGGTAAAGGGAATGATCACAAGCTCACAGGAAAGTTGCCTCGTTTCCTGAGAGTCATCTAGGATAGGTGTATCTGATGTATCACTGATATTTTTACAGTGTTTAGATTTGGAGGAACACTTATCTTGTACTCCCTCCTAACAGCTGCCTTACTCTCCACATTGTCCCATTACCACTAAACCCTCCACTTCGAGAACATCAACTTTAACGGCCTCCTCTGGGCACTCCCATTCATTTCAACCTCTTACCATCCCTCTATTCCCTGACACCATAGCACTCCTTTCGGTCTTATGAACAGATACTTTTGTACTTCTACCTTTTGTTTGTTATGTTGTTTTCAAGTATCACTCCTCGCGATCAGACCATCTGTCACTTGACCTCTATAAATCAAGATCCCCATCATTTCCCAGGACTTCTTTCCACTCCTCCAAAATTTCTCCTTCACCTTAAACTTAGCTAATTTTAGCCTCTCTCTTGTCCATCTATCCCTCCCAGAGACTGACTCAATGCTGTTCACTCTTCAGAAAGTAAACAGAATCAAACAAGTATAGCAAAAGAGAATAAGAAAGAGATGGAAAAGCAGCTGTAAGGACCAATAAAGAAAAAAAAAATCATGGGAGATGGCTGTTACAGAACAGCGGTCAGTAGATGAACACAGTACTCAGAAGCAATAAAAATACCGAATAGCGGGACGCCTGGGTGGCTCAGCCGGTTAAGCATCTGCCTTCAGCTCAGGTCATGATCCCAAGACCGTGGGATCGAGTCCCACATAGGGCTCCTGGTTCAGCAGGGAGCCTGCTTCTCCCTCTGCCTGCCACTCCCCCTGCTTGTGCTCCTTCTCTCTCTCTGACAAATAAATAAAATCTTAAAAAAAAAATACTAAATAGCTTTCGCAGGCAGGATATTTCCCTTTATGTTACATTTTTAGGCCAACTATAAAGAAGCTAGTTTATTTTCCTCCTATGTGCTTTGCCTGAAATCAGTGAAAGACGATGATTGCAAGCACACTCCATTTTTTTAGAGGAAAGTAGCATCATTTTTCCATCTGTTCTGTTTTTAATAAACAATCCTTTATTAACACAGCTAGATATAGACATTAACCACTGTACTGAAGTGGTTAAAAGCATGAGTTTTGGAACCAGACTACTCAGGTCCAAATCTTTTTTTTTTTTTTTTAATTTTTTTTAATTTATTTATCTGAGAGAGAGAATGGGAGACAGAGAGCATGAAAGGGGGAGGATCAGAGGGAGAAGCAGACTCCCCGCCGAGCAGGGAGCCCGATGTGGGACTCGATCCCGGGACTCCAGGATCATGACCTGAGCCAAAGGCAGTTGCTTAACCAACTGAGCCACCCAGGCGCCCCTACTCAGGTCCAAATCTTGTCAGTTCTACTTACTAACTAACTTTGTGACTCTGGGCAGTTATTTAGCTGCTCTGTGTCCCATGTTCCTCTTCTGTAAAATAAAGATAATAATAATTTTGAACAATTACTGATATGAGAGGACTAAATAAATCAATTCCTTGAAGTGTTCAGGGTCGGTGCCTGATACATGGTCAATATGGTCATTAAATATTAGAAATCATCACTTTATAACGTTATATCTTCCAATTGTATGTCAAAGTATAAAAAGTACATATCTCATTCCTTCAATTATTACTTCAATTAACCCCATTTTTACTTCTACACATTAGTGAAAGTAATTCACACTAAACATTTCCTGGAACATATTCTTAACTTTTGCTGCAAGCCAGTTATTCAACCACAGTTCTTACAAGAGGATTCTGTCACCTTCCAGCAACTTTTCTTCAAACTCTAACCTTCTCTCTGGATTCTAGAAACTGAGTCCTGACTACTTCCAAACTAATCAAAGATAAGATGTTAACGTGTTTTCCTAATAGTTATGGACTAGGAAATCCTACTGTAGGAATACCTAGAATTCCTCATACATATTCCAGAAAGCAACATATCTAATCTTTCAATTTTCAGGAAAGTCACTATCATCTACACCTTAAAAAAAAAAGTTGGCTATATTCTAAATCTCAAATTATAACAAGAGCTGTTTCTTTCCATTTTGGCAGACCACCTCAACATCCCAGATTTAGTTAGCATACACAATTAAAAGCAAATCAAAAGGAGGCAGAGACACACTCAAAAGGAACTGGCTTTTAAAAGTATAAACAGCTTTTTATGATTTAAGATTAATGGCAAAAGAAAATTGGAAAAAAATGAAACATCTATTAACAGGAAAATAGTCAAATAAATTCTGATATATCCATATGATAGAACAGTATTCATTTATCTAAGATGGAATTAATAATAAGTGACACAAGAAAATGCTTCTAGTACTATAAATAAATATTAATATTTCTATTTTTTTTGCAAACTGTATATGCAAAATCATTCTAAACTACAACTGTGCATAAGAGCATGCATCTGCATGTGTACACACAAAAAAATGCAGGGAACAAAACTCATCCATAATTCAATATTAATTGGTTATGGGTGGTAAGATTAGAGTGATTTAAATTTCTTCTTCACACTTTTCTGTATTTTTATTCACGACTATCATGTATTCCTTTTATAATAAAAAAATTTGAGGCAGCTCTATAATTTTACCTTCTCAGAACAAAAAACTAAGAAAATGAGGGAAAAACTCGTGTCTTTAGACATTCACTGATAAGAGAACTATTACTTATCCCCAATCAGAAGGGTAATTCACAATTACTTGACCTGACTAATTTATAAGAACTTTTGGCCCTTTCAAGGCATAGCTACTTGAAATAATAATTAACATTAGCAATTTACGTTATCATAGGATTAGTAACTAAACTGCTATCTGCCACTCTCTTTCCACAAATGTTAAAATTGCAGATTCCAAATTAGCCATTTAAACTGAAGTTGAGGGACACCTGGGTGGCTCAGTCGGTTAAGCGTCTGCCTTCAGCTCAGGTCATGATCCCGGGGTCCTGGGATCGAGTCCCGCATCGGGCTCCCTGCTCCGCGGGGAGCCTGCTTCTCCCTCTGCCTCTGCCTCTCTCTCTCTCTCTCTCTCATGAATAAATAAATAAAATCTTTTAAAAAATAAAATAAATAAATAAATAAACTGAAGTTGAACTTGCAACACTTCGGTTTCCCAAAGAAGGGGGTACTAAAAGTAGCTTGTTGCTAGATTTAGGAAACAAATTTTGTATTTAAATTTATATTAGTTGTCATCAGTTGGATACAATTCTGAAGTTTCAGGGTAACTCCATATTCCTATATCCACACTGAGAACTGCAGTGCTACTAACTAACCCGGGTGGCAAATAGAATATGTGGAAAATCTCCATTTTATTGTGCTTCATATATTTACACATTCTGATCTTGATTTAATGTTATTTGGTATCCAGGCTTTCTTTTCTCAGCTATCTTCTGTTTCTTAAATAATACATGAGCTCGATGGAAGTTAAATTGAACATTTCTTTGGAAAAGCAATTTGATTTCAAATGAAATAATCTAGTTTACTCAAAATATTCAATATAAAGGAAAAGAGAGGACATCCCACCTCCCATTCCAAACATCAGGTTCTTCAATTGAGAGAAGTGTTTTATTATTTTTTAGTATACATTTGGGGGTTTGTTTGCTAAAGCAGTTAATCTATCCTAACTATAACTTCCTCTTTTTCTACACTTTCAGCCAGAGTATACATTTTAACAGGGCTATGAGTTCTGCTGACAGAGAATCAGTATTACTTTAAGCATCTGGTATAACTCCTGGTTTTTTGATATATAATTGAGATAGAACATCGTTTAAGTTGAGGGGGAACAACCTGTTGATTTGATACACCTATATATAAATCACAATATGATTACCACCATTACATTAGCTAAAACCTCTAACATGTGACATAATTATCATTCCTTCTTGTGGTGAGAACATTTAAGATCTAGTCTCTCAGCAACTTTGACATATATAATGCAGTACTGTTGGGGAATTTTAGAAGAGAAGTTTTCTGAAGAAAAAGAAATCCTATTAATGGGACTCTGAATTATTTGAAAAAAACAAACAACCAAAAGTTAAAACAAATATAGAGCTATATAGAGATATATAGATCATATATGTGTGTATATATGTGTATGTATATATGTGTATATATATGTTTGTGTGTGTGTGTGTGTATATATAGAGAGAGGAGAGTTCCCCAAAGCCACAGTATTGTAAATCACACATACTTACAGACTGCTTAAATTCATTTAATTGCATTTGGAGACCCTGGGCTTTGTCAAGTTCCTTTTTCATTTCATTCACATTTCGTTTGAATTCTGTGACCTCCAAGCGCAGTGAGCGGCGTTCCACTTCTGCTGCGTGCAGTCTTTGTGTAAATCCAAATATTTGCTTCTGTAACGATGCTGTGCTTTTCTATTGTTAATCAAGAGCAATTTTACAAGCAGTAACTACAGGTTTACTAATAAATCAATAGCAACAGCCATTTTACCAACTTAAATGTATCTTGGATTATACAGAGAACAATACTAGCTGTAACTGACACTTAGAGGTGAAAGCTTTACTTTTTATGTGACCAATAATTTGGTTGATATGAAATGAACAACCAACGAAAATAAATAATCTAATGGCTAGAAAAGGGAGTTGACATTTGTTTATGTCTCTTAGCATTCTGTTGCAGTCTACTTACAGAAATAGTAAAATCACAACTCATGCCAGAACTTTTGTATTTGGATATTTTAGACACTTACTCGGAAGTGCTATTACGTACTGCATTAAAGAGTACATGAAACCTAAAGGAAATCTAAATACATTCATGCACAACTAATTTAAACTACAAATAAGTGTGATTCAGAGTTAAATTTACAATCCTAAAGTCACTATTTAATGAAATTGCATACATACCAAAATGGGCACATGGCCATGTAGACCATACTTCAGGGCCAGCGTATTTACTTTATGAAGTCCACGAGCCAACCTCTGAACCAGAGAATCTTTTTCTATGTATGTAATACTCCTGCTACTATGCAAAGGTATACTCTCCATGGCCAGACTAACTTTATCCATGAGTTTTGCAAAAGAATTCTTGGCTGCACCTATGAGTAAATGTCCACAAATTCTGGAATTTGGATCTTCGGGGCGGGGGGGAAAAGAAAAAAGAGGCAGAAAAGATGTGAACTGTCTCTTGCTCATTTCACAACTCTGCCAATCGCAACACAATTAAAATATTTTCTCAGTTATTTAATTCCCATTCACCTGTAATGATTCATTCAGAAGTCCCCTCCCACATTAATTTTCACTATGAAAAAAAGGAATGCAGAAAATAGCTCACCTACTAAACAACATATCTAAAGAAAATCTGCATGTATGTACATTATATCATTTACACTGAACACTATGACACTAAAAATTCATCATCACTCTTTTCTTTGCTTTAAAACCTAACATAAATTCATTTTCCATTTACAACTACTGAAGCTTGTTACCTTAATGTCATACTATTTATATTCTCAGACAAGAAAATATAATTTGCCTTAGTCCAAGGCAATTAAAATTTTACAACGACAATTACTTATTTCCCCACAGGATTTTGGTAATCATCCCTCTCACATAATGGACTTAAGGTCCCAGCATATCCAACATGGCCTGCTTGCTGCTAGATGCATCAGGTCTGTAATTAATAATTGTGTTTAGTGTTGATAAATAAAATTGTCAGTGCACTTTCTACTAATTGGTATTCCAGATAATGGTTAATAGGTTTATTTATGCCTTAATAAAAGTCATGTAATTTAGTTTTCCCTCTGCTAGGCAGGTCTTAATCTGTCATTACATGTTTTATGATACTATCTGTGTAAAATGACAAGCATGGAGAGATTATTTAAATTCAGTAGTATATCATTCTACATTTCAGGAGCCTCTGCTGTTGGAATTAACTTAAATTTTGTCTTTACATCATAAACACAAAAAGGATATTTGGCCAGTTTTATCCAATAGAAAAATGTTTTATAATTCTAAGAATACATACGGTTCAACAGTAAAGAACAACATTGGCTGGGAAGGTGATCAAACAGTGGTTTTCTAAGTCAGAAAGAACAATCTCACAGAAGCCCTGTGTTCAAAAATGTGAGGCTTCTTTTATTTCTTTATTCCTCAGTGGATAAAAGGAAAGATAAATTTTTAAATTTATGCAGCAGTCATGGGGCACCTGGGTGGTTCAGTCGGTTAAGCATCAGACTCTTGATTTTGGCTTAGGTCATGATCTCAGGGTCATGGGATTGAGCCTTGCATTGGCCTCAGCGCTCAGCAGGGAGTCTGCTGGAGATTCTCTTTCTCCCTCTCCCTCTGCCCCTCCCTCTGCTAGCATGCTCTCTCTCAAATAAATAAATAAGTAAATAAATCTTTTAAAAAAATTTATGCAGCAATCAGATTTTGGAAACCACAACTGCCTAGAAGTTATACATAAAATAAAAGTTATAAATTGAATAAAAGCATAATACCCTTCATGTAGAATTTATTTCTATTAGTTATTGATGCATTAACTTCTAACAATATAAGGTGATATAAGTTTAATTCTATATACCTCTCATAAACATACTCTCTAAGAATCCCATTGACAGAAGGCATATAAAGTATAATTAAAATACACAGTTCCTTTGTTAACAATCAATTATTTAAATAAGTCATGAATAAAAAAGAGTTCAGTAGCTTCACATACCAATTAACATAAAATACAGAACAACTGATTTAAAAGAATTGTTAAATTAGTGTTTAATAGGTCATTGAAAAAATAAACAGTAAAAGCCATTTTACCTATAACATTCAATATTATACATCATTCCAGTGCCTAATATATGTATTCCCTGTGTCTCAACTGGCTTGCAACTCCTTAACTGTGTCTTTTGTTATCTCAGTAAACCCTGTATTTGTACTGTACCAGCCTAGCATATATGGATATTTTGTATGTGTTTATTGGATTAATTGTACTTCATTTTACTTCCATAGCAGCTGCAACATGCTGAATATAAGGATGCATTCAATAATACCAAGAAAGACACATAGATCAATGGAACAGAATAGAGAACCCAGAAATGGACCCTCAACTCCTTGGTCAACTAATCTTTGACAAAGCAGGAAAGAATGTCCAATGGAAAAAAGGCAGTCTCTCCAACAAATGGTGTTGGGAAAATTGGACAGCCACATGCAGAAGAATGAAACTGGACAATTTCCTTACACCATACACAAAAATAGACTGAAAATGGATGAAAGATCTAAATGTGAGACAGGAATCCATCAAAATCCTAGAGGTGAACACAGGCAGCAACCTCTATGACCTCGGCCGCAGCAACTTCCTGCTAGACACACCTCCAAAGGCAAGGGAAACAAAAGCAAAAGTGAACTACTGGGACCTCATCAAGATAAAAAACTGCTGCACAGCAAAGGAAATAGTCAACAAAACTAAAAGGCAATCTATGGAATGGGAGAAGATATTTGCAAATGATATGTCAGATAAAGGGCTACTATCCAAAATCTATAAAGAACTTATCAAATTCAACACCCAAAAAATAAATAACCCAGAAATGGACAGAAGACATGAACAGACATTTTTCCAAAGAAGACATCCAAATGGCCAGCAGACACATGAAAAAATGCTCAGCATCACTTGGCATCAGGGAAATCCAAATCAAAATCTCAATGAGATACCACCTCACACCAGTCAGAATGGGTAAAATTAACAAGTCAGGAAACGACAAATGTTGGCGAGGATGCAGAGAAAGGGGAACCCTCCTACACTGTTGGTGAGAATGCAAGCTGGTGCAGCCACTCTGGAAAACAGTATGGAGGTTCCTCAAAAAGTTAAAAATAGAGCTACCCTATGACCCAGCAATTGCACCACTAGGTATTTACCCAAAGGATACAAATGCAGTGATCCAAAGGGGCACTTGCACCCCAATGTTTATAGCAGCAATGTCCACAATAGCCAAACTATGGAAAGAGCCCAGATGTCCATCAACAGATGAATGGATAAAGAAGATGTGGTGTGTATATATACAATGGACTATTATTCGGCCATCAAAAAGGATGCTATCTTACCATTTGCAATAAGGCAGATGGAACTGGAGAGTATTATTCTGAGCAAAATAAGTCAATCAGAGAAAGATAATTATCACATGGTTTCCCTCATATTGGAATTTAAGAAACAAAACAGAGGATCATAGGGGAAGGGAGGGAAAAATAAAACAAGATGAAATCAGAGAGAGAGACAAACCATAAGAGACTCTTAACTATAGGAAACAAACTGAGGGTTGCTGGAGGGGAGGTGGGTGGGGAGATGGGGTAACTGGGTGATGGGCATTAAGGAGGGCACGTGATGTAATGAGCACTCGGTGCTATATGCAACTGATGAATAACCAAACTCTACATCTGAAGTTAATGATACACTATATGTTAATTAATTGAATTTAAATAAGATTAAAAAAAAGAAAAATTAATATTTTTAGTGCTATGTCAAAAGCTATTCTTTATATTTAAATTTTTTTAAATTTTATTATGTTATGTTAATCACCATACATTACATCATTAGTTTTTGATGTAGTGGTCCATGATTCATTGTTTGCACATAATACCCAGTGCTCCATTCAAAATACATGCCTTCTTTAATACCCATCACTGGGCTAAACCATCCCCCCACCCCCTCCCCTCTAGAACCCTCAGTTTGTTTCTCAGAGTCCATAGTCTCTCATGGTTCGTCTCCTCCTCCGATTTCCTGCCCTCATTTTTCCCTTCCTACTATCTTCTTTTTTTTTTTAACATATATTATTTGTTTCAGAGGTACAGGTCTGTGATTCAACAGTCTTACACAATTCACAGTGCTCACCACAGCACATACCCTCCCCAATGTCTATCACCCAGCCACCCCATCCCTCCCACCCCCCACCACTCCAGCAAACCTCAGTTTATTTCCTGAGATTAAGAATTCCTCATATCAGTGAGGTCATATGATACATGTCTTTCTCTGATTGACTTATTTCACTCAGCATAATACCCTCCAGTTCCATCCACGTCATTGCAAATGGCAAGATTTCGTTCCCTTTGATGGCTGCATAATATTCCATTGTATATATATACCACATCTTCTTTATCCATTCATCTGTCAGTGGACATCTTGGCTCTTTCCACAGTTTGGCTATTGTGGACATGGCTGCTATAAACATTGGGGTGCACGTACCCCTTCGGATCCCTACATTTGTATCTTTGAGGTAAATACCCAGTAGTGCAATTGTTGGGTCATATGGTACCTCTATTTTCAACTTTTTGAGGAACCTCCATACTGTTTTCCAGAGTGGCTGCACCAGCTTGCATTCCCACCAATGGTGTAGGAGGGTTCCCCTTTCTCCGCATCCCCGCCAACACCTGTCATTTCCTGACTTGTTAATTTTACCCATTCTGACTGGTGTGAGGTGGTATCTCATTGAGGTTTTGATTTGGATTTCCCTGATGTCAAGTGATGTTGAGCACATTTTCATGTGTCTGTTGGCCATTTGGAGGTCTTCTTTGGAAAAATGTCTGTTCATGTCTTCTGCCCATTTCTTGATTGGATCATTTGTTCTTTGGGTGTTGAGTTTGATAAGTTCTTTATAGATTTTGGATACTAGTCCTTTATCTGATATGTCATTTGCAAATATCTTCTCCCATTCTGTCAGTTGTCTTTTGGTTTTGTTGACTGTTTCTTTTGCTGTGCACAAGCTTTTTATCTTGATGAAGTTCCAATAGTCCATTTTTGCCCTTGCTTCCCTTGCCTTTGGTGATGTTTCTAGTAAGAAGTTGCTGTGGCTGAGGTCAAAGAGGTTGCTGCCTTGTTCTCCTTTAGGATTTTGATGGACTCCTGTCTCACATTGAGGTCTTTCAACCATTTTGAGTCTGTTTTTGTGTGTGGTGTAAGGAAATGGTCCAGTTCTTTATATTTTTTAGATTTTTTTATTTATCTATTTGTCAGAGAGAGAGTGAGAGAGGGAACAGCAGGCAGAGGGAGAAGGAGTCTCCCTGTTGAGCAGGGAGCCCAATGAGGGACTCAGTCCCAGGACCCTGGAATCATGACCTGAGCCAAAGGCAGATGCTTAACTAACTGAGCTGC